TTATATACGTTTTACTTCATTACGTATATACAGAATACGGACATGTGAACATGTTATTAGATCATTAACTTATTATAATTATTTAACCGGAGTTGAAACCGGATGGCTGTTTGTCTCGTAGTAACGCCGAAATTTTTATATTTAAAAATAAAAAGCTATGAAACAAATTATACAATTAATTATGATTGCTTATACTTGTGTATTGTTGTTTATAAATGCGTGTTTTATCGAATAGTACTGCTTTTTCAAAAAATTAGATAACTAAATACATATCTATACTACTGTATGGAATGCAAAAAAAAAACAAAAAAGAAAAAAAATATGTATGCGTCTCTGTAATGAATGTTACGCTAATTCTATAACGCGGCAATCGGAAACCATTTGCGAGTGACCTCAATGTGTTGCCATTACTAAAAAAACATCACGTGCTCGTTCGTAATTTTAGTAGAAATACGTAACTTTCGAACCGGACCTAGAAACTATCTGGTGTCTTTGATAATGTTTGCTCAATTACATTGTAAATAGATTTCGTGTATTATTTTAAAATTGAAATTATTTTTTTGCGTATGTTCGGCTACTTTTAATATTCACTAATGTCGTTTGTTTAGTTTGAATTAATGCAAGAAGTGGATGAGGAGAGCCGCAGACCGGGCTCAGTGGTGTGGATTGGGAGAGGCCTATGTCCAGCAGTGGACGACTGTGGGCTGTTGATGATGATGATGATGATGAAATGATCTCGAAAAGTTTTAATACTGTGCTTTCATAGACGTGTTTGGCAACACTCTTAAGACATGAGGCTCAGGTCTCAAAGGGCTACGAACATGTTTCCATGGGCTTTTAAACTACAAATACTTTTGGAGGAAATAAATAAAGCTCAGAAAATTTATTATAAATATTCAATAAATCACTTTCACTGTTAAATTTAATGACTTTATTTTTACAATTACATAATTCTAAATTACAATAAAAAATAATTTAAATGCATTTATTTCTATAAATTTCATTATTCATTCGATAAATTAGCATTCATTGTTCACGGCAACTGATAGTAAATATCAAAGTCTTCTGTAAACTAAAATGTTGCTTCATCTTGAAACACAATATATTTAATTTAAACTTTATAGTCAAGTAAGATACGTCCCAATTCACATTAACGAAAGACGACGAAGGCCAAACGTACTGTCTGTGCCAAAATTAATTACCCACACAAACAAAATTCATAATTTTTGAGAAAATCAAGACAAGTTAAATTTATACAGATAAATCATTAACACTTCATTGTTTTTTTTTTTGTGTGATTATTTTTAATAGAAAATTGCAAGATATTTTTGATATGATTTAAGGCTGTATGGTTAGTAAGCTGTGGCTTTAGTCGGTTCTTTCTCTGCAAAAAGTTTCCCATAAACGACACTATTAATATCCGGTTTTTTTTTTATTTGTTCAAAATTGAAAAGAATAGTATTAAAAATGAATTCAATGACTCAATCCGTCGTAACCTTTCATACGAAATGCTGCCAATAACGAGCATAATTCAATATTATTTTATATTAAGTAATTGTACACCCGAGCCGCGCAAGAATTTCGTCACGACACACAATGTTACTATACGTACATATTTTTTTTCTATCTCACCTCGCTTGGGGCTAACCCGTTTTCTCGAAAATAGAATTAAAATACGACCGCAATGAACGCGGGATAGTTTGGAAATCTGTACATTGACTGTTCGTTATTGCATTCGAGTGTTTTAATTTTGCAATAAAATTCGAATTGTGTAACGCGCGCAATTAACATTACAGATTTTGAATAACAAAATCTCATTAAAAACTGGGCAAATTGTGACAGGTATTGGTATGAATTCGATCGCCATCATTGTAGTATTTACACAAACTAGAGGTCCTGCAGTAGTCGAAATTCGACTATAATTAATTGGAATTGTAAGTTTGTACACTATTATGATTGTATTTTATACTTCTATAACACAATTTTCGCCAAGACTACACTATAAAAAATATTAATAAAAACAAATAATATTTAATCTATTCTCAATTTGACGACAGACGTCAAGAACAAAAGTTTGACAATAAATAGTATGCATGCGTGTGTGCGTCAAATACATGGTATGTAGTGTGTGTAATGTTTTCTTTATTGATTTAATATACCTTTTATGCATTATTTAAAAAAAATATTAGCATTGTGCACTTCTTCTCTATATTCTCTATAAGTGTGGAAAATTTCATACTCCTCCGTCCGCGCAATTTTCGTAAAAAGGGATACAAAGTGTTTGCTTCACGTATTAATATATAGATTAAACTGAATAAAGGTTTAACAGAACCATTCGTTTGCGAATTCTCGAACAAGGCAGTACTTTGGCATTGTTAATATTACCGTCAGCGGCAAAACTTCCTCTGATTAACCAACGAAGTTAAGTCCGTTCTAACTTATCACGACAAACAATGGAGATTGTTATTTGGGTTATATCACAGATCGATTGCTTTTATATAAATCTCAAAAGAGCCTCAATCGAGTCCTAATGCGACTTTTATAAAGCCAAAGACAATAGATTATTTTCACATTATTCTTCCCACAGATAATATATAAATTAATTTTGAATTTGACATTCGAACAACGGATGAAGCTAAGCGCATTGATATGTATTGGATATAATTAATTCAGAGTTGTTTGATCGATGCGTGTTACTTCTGAATTTGTTTTTTTTTCTTGTTTTTTTTTTGTTACATACGAACACTACTTTAAGTTACATTTTATTACGTCAGTATGAATGAGAAATGGACCTTTATTTTTTATTCATACAGTTTGTGATGGGTTTTTTTTTGTACGTATTCACAATATGTATACTGCTATTTTTGAACCTCTTTATTCGCTCTGCGCTATTGTGGGCCACTATTGGACTACAAGGACTCGGCTCAAACATGCTCTAGCCCTTTTGGTGATATGTAGCGACTGGAGACCACAGATATCGGAACATTTAGACATGATTTTTTATTTCGTTTCACATTCACTGCACGAATAGAATACGTTCTCTTCGAATGATTCAGTGGTTTCCGATAGATCCTACTTTAAGATTAAACTTTAATAAGCTCTCGCGGCTCAATGAGTCCAAGTGAGAAGTCATATGTTCATAATTGGCCTCCAATCACTAGTAGATTATCTGCATCCTATTGAAGTGCTAAAATTTTCCACCAATATCATCTTACTTCTCAGAAGATCATGCAAACATCTTGAAATCATTGTTAGCGCGATTTAGAATGCTGCTCAACTTATTCTAACGATCCAACGATATTATTTAAATCGCTTGAGGGTATTTAAAAAAAAAAAGATTCGAAATTAGAATACGAGACTAAATCAACTTTAAAAAAAAAGGTATTAAGATCAAACGTTTGAAGCATACACGTACATATCTGTGACGCGTATTCTAAAAATTATTCACATGAGTAATGATATAGAATTAATGAGACCGGTCTTAATCTATACAACATAGATTATGTGGTGTGTAATTTTACATGATTTCGTTAAGAACTTATACCGTTATTTTCCATTAGACTAACTCGCATCGTACAGTTGAATGTACCTACTTGTTAGGTGAGTACGTGTGTCGTCCTTTAAAAAAAACAGTAGTAATAAGTCGTATAAAGAGAAGGAGAGGCTCAGACGAATTGTAAACTCGAATTGACGCAAAATTAAATTCGGAAAGAATCTCACTTTTGCTTCGAACGAATTTAGTTCGTGACGTAATCGAGATTGTCCGAAAAAGTCATTGGCGCGATTCAGGATTTTTGACGTGTCGTGACGCATTACGATTCTTTAGACAAATAATGTTGTAATTACATGTCGACGCTTGAAAGGCAAAGATGACTAAGCGACAATAACTGCTTTATACATAAATGATAGGCAATAACCATATTCGATGCGAAAAAAATATTTATTTCTAGATCTATTAAAATTATTTCAATCCTACAGCTAGATTCGTTAAAATAGAATTTTTTTCAGGTATTTCAACTTTAAATTAGTCTACTGTAAAGTTCACACATTGTCGCTTAGTCACGGTTGCCTTTCAAGCGTCGATAAGTACCTATATTATATATACATACAGTAAATCTGAAATCTTTAATAATCCCACAAACAGATAACGTCTTACGCTCTCTCTCTTTATGGATACAATCGTCTTTCAGGTATTCAGGTCTGAAATCACAACATACGCGAAGTATTTAGAATTGTATACTCTGTAAAGAGAACAGACTTTAGTGTTATTTATCGTTCGATGTCAGTAAATGTTAATTGGTACTACATCTTGGCGCACTGCATCATGTTCTTCTGTTCTGCCTTATCATCCAGATGTTGTGATCTACAATAGGATGAATATTTATAAATTTAAAAATTCGGTTGTTCTGTTTTTTCAGCGTCGCTTTTTATATCAAAAATTTATTCAGCAATAACTTTTCAGTGAACACTCCAATCGAAAATGTATCTTTATTTTAATTATATATTATCATTAGTTTCCTATTTTGCGGTTACCAACAGCCCTAGACATTAAAAGCCGAAAAACAGGAGATCAGACGTAGATTTCTTATTTTTTTCCCCTTCCTATTCTAGTAACCTCGAGAGGTTATTTTAGATTCGCCGAATTAGTAGGTGAGCTCACGGGGCTCAAACCTGATGACGTTTCTATAACTAAACCTAGCAACGAGAACGGTGACCGGTGCTTGAGGTACCTAAAAGCACCGTTAATGGTTCGGGAGGATCCGAAACGACGTGTTTTGGGCGACGTGGATTGTTGGTCAGGGCTGTTCCATCTTTTAAACTGTGACATATAACCAATGGGAGTATCTGCTCTTGCAAGCTCACAATTCACCCAGGCACATCCAAACTGTTACTCCATAAATGTTGTTTGTTAACAAAAAAGACCTCTAAATCATAAAAGCGCGTAAGCGACCATACGGTTATTACGAATAAGAATTGACTTTTCATTTTGCTTGTTCCAGGCAATGCACCTCTGAAGACTGATTAAATAATTAAGAAGTTTAAGAAATGATAGATCCATGAAGCTTATTATAAGGTATGTTTGTTAATGTGATTTGGTTCTATGCGATTTGTTAGAAGTAAGTCACTGTAAGTTACAATTCACTGAATTCTATATTAGACATTGATCCATTATGCTAGATGTCAATTCACCTAAAATATTAAGTTATATTAAAAAGTGGTTAGGTAGTTAATCTTGAAAAAAATCATTAATTTAAAATTTACAGTTTCATTATTAAAGAGCCCTTGCAAGACAAAAAAATCCAGATTATCTTATCAGATAATAACCGATAAGCCACATTGGCATTACAGCTTCCTCGGTTAGCCCATAAAAGACTTGACGAAACGAAATTATGAAATATCAAATTTTTATATCCGAACAAAAACAATGAATATTTAAATTCAAAACATTCCACATTATTCAGCTAATCTCATCGACAAAAGACTATTGTTTCTGATTCACATTGTTTCGTTATAAATCAAAAATGAATCACTGTTTTGATTAAACGTTATATTGTATCGAGTGTTTTCGTTTGTTTATAACATCTGTGAGACGGATGACACGTGAAAACTCGGACGCTATTTTGTAATCAATTTCGGGGAGATCAAAATATTTGTGTAACATCAATTAAAAGAAGTCACCACTCAATAGTTTTGTTCTATTCAAGGCATTGTCTGTGATTATATGTAGCTCTTGTCTGAATAAAAATACCCCAAAATTTTAAATTAATTATACGAATTAATGATAGTTATACTGTCCACAGAACCGGCTCGCTTTGGGTTGTGGTCCTGGTAGGGGTCCAAGCATTGCAATGACTACTGCGATGGCCGCACACCAAGATTCTATCCATGAGAGACTTCAACCGGCACCAGAAGAACCGCTATATCTCCGCCATGGAACGCCAACTTGGCCCGAAGCTAATGACAACCAAGAAGATCACAGCGCCGACTTATCTCCGTACTACAACATGCCCAAACGGAACAAAAGAAAGAACTTCAAGCCTCGATGCGCTCCTAACACCTCAGCATTTTCTGATGACTCGAACGAAGGAAACTGCGAGGACACGAGGAGTTCAATCAACGGAAATGAGAGAACTACTCCTGAACACATAGAAGATGACAAAGAAGACGGAGGCTACGCTAAAATCGGCGTGAAGAACTTTAACCTACTGAAAGGAGGTGCTGTAGATCTCAGTAGAAGATTAAGCACAGATTCAAATGAGAATATAGAATCGAATTACCAAGACAGGTTAACAGAAAACAAAAAGGTAGATTCTTTTCAGAGATCCTACATCCACAGCCTTCAGATGACCCAAGCTAGTGAAAACGATAGGACCGTGTTAAACTTTAGTAATTTACAAAACAAAACATTTTGTGCCAAAAATCCATTTGCTATATCACAACTAATCAAAACAAACTCTCCGCCGAGGAGAAGGGACTCTGATTCCGATGAAGATAAAGGGCAGGACATAAACGCTAATGAAAGGTTAGAAAATCAAGAGTCGATAGAAACCGATGCCCAATCTAATGGAGACACGAACAATGCTACAAACAGAATCTTGAGAGATTACGCTATGAATACAATGAAGGAATTACTCGGGATTTACGGTTTATCTTCTAATGAAGTCGCTGAGGCCATAAGTGGACAGATAAGGGCTTTAGAAGCACTTCAAGGTGTGTATATACATACATAATTAGCCTTAACTACAAATATTTACTAATTTTTTTGTACATTTGGTTAACACAGGTAAACCTTTCACCCAACTACCGCTTAGTTTGAAGAGGCGCCACGACTCAACACTGGAAGACGGCACCGAAAGAAGTATCAGAAGATCTTCGTCGGCTACCGAGGATGAGGACTCTACGAATATTACACCACCGAAGACACCGGATAACGAATTGCAAGCACAAAGGTAAGATTTATATAGTTATGTAGATTTATATAGTTTATATAGTTAGACAGATTCCCATTTGGTTGAACTCTTGGCACTCAGCTTCTGAGATATGCTCGTGGTTTTTTTTGTACTACAATAACTACCTAACCTTTCAAAAAAAGATAGGGTTGCTTCAGGGCAAGAAATACGAGAAAACCTGTATCAATTCACAAGGAATAACTACCATTATTCAAGATAGAAATTAGTGCTTGCTCCTCTTAATAAGGTGCTAGTGCCCCAGATGGCCATGAGGAAGTGACAAAGTCTTTTAATGATAATCTGGACCATACATCTAAGATTATCTTGTCTTGTAGAGCGTCGATTAAATAATATTCAATTAGAAGAGCTTAAATACGTTATTTATTTTTATACTCTTTGTGTTGTGCGGAAAGCCGCTTTTAAAAAAGCCTGTAAAAATCTGTTAGCGAACAATAGCTGATAGAAATATTACATTCTAAATTATGTTGGTCGATTGACGATCGAAATTCAACCATAATCACTAACAACCCTAGGATCTAGATTAATTTTAATTATGTTTATGACAAATTCCTTTTTGTTGATATTGAAAAAAAGATTATTGGCATTAATTGTTTTTGGATTAACTAAAGTTACGGACCTAAAAAGGAAACGATTTTGGTTTTAAAAAAAAAAGGAGACTACGAACTTATACTGCCGTTACCTATTATAAATCTATCTATAGCAACCATATCATCAAATGGAAAATGTAAACATGAAAAGTCAACCTTACCTCCCTAACATTTTGATTTAGTATCTAATACGTTATTATTTTCAGTTTTCACTTTTGTGATGATCATTTTGTTTCAGACAAAGAGCTTTACAAATAATCAACCAACAATCAATGAGGCTGTTTAATAGATCTCAGGCCCAGGAGGAAGACGGCAGCGGATCTGATGACGGAGATCAGACCCTCGATTTGAGTGTGTCCAGGGACACAGATGGACAAGTAAGAGCTGCTGTGATAGCTATAGTTTTATTGTAACCTCTTAAACAATGAGATCCAGTTTCTGTTTAGAGACGGAGACGAACTCCTTGTGAAGGAGATCGTATTCCAGCTACAGGCGTATTTTCCGTTATCAGTTAGTTTTATTCGTACGTTTCATTGACATTTAAGTTCTCATTAATAAGCTTCACAAAACCAATAACCAATTACGACCTTCTGTCTTTACCGGAGTTCCTCCACTTTCAAATTCAAATATCGACCTTCTACCTCAAAGCGTTGTGGTGTCTATGGACTCGGAAATTGTTTTATATAGCGTGTCAAATCCCCGCAAAAAAGATTCAACATTTGAAGGTTTATCTTCCTCCCTTAGGCGGATAACGAAATAATGTAATATTGTAACTAAAGTCGAGGGCAAAAGATCTTGCGGACGATCTCCAACACGATGGACCGACCTCATCAAATCTGTGACTCACTCTAACATAAATGATTGCTCTCACTCTGCGAAACATCATGCCACATGGCGTCGCATCGCGAGAGCATCGGTCTTGCAGGATCCGACTGATGCATGATCACGACCATCTGTCAAGAGTGTGGGAATAGGAAGAAGAAGAAATAGCTAACTTTTTCAATTGAGGCTTCATTTCAACATTAAAGGAATGTGGGGCAATAGAAAATATTTAAATCAAAATGTCCACCCACTCCTGATTTCTGGATCATTCTAAACCTTTGCGATTGCGTGTAACACTAATTAACAGTACCATAATTACCGTATTGTCAAGCGGATCTAATGATCTGAAATACGAGCTTCCGATGGATTAATTCAATGGCATATTTATCTTAACGAGTACTATGCACAAAATCTGTTTCTCTTGTTTGGTCACGAGTGCTCACGGTTGCTTATAGGCAGCATTTCAACTGTTTAGTCGTCTATCGATTTCTTGACGAAGCCCTGTTTTAATGAAATCATTTTATTGGTCAAGGAACAGTCCACAACGTCGAGTGCGGGAAACAGTGTATCAGAGTTCGAACAGCAAAACATGCTGATGAGGAAGAATCTCGAAGATCTGGCCAATCTGCAGATGCAGGTCAGTTACCGTATAACAAATAAATTATAGACAACCAAACTTCTTCTTCTGTTTGATACTAAATGTGTTATGTGTTTCTAAACTTGAAAGATTTTTGTATAAAACACTTGTTTTTATTTTATCTAACTAGTTTTACAGGCCTATTAGTAACGCCTTCAACACATGATTTCATATTAGTAGCTTTTTTTATTATTATTGCGTGAAATGCCAAACAAGCTCACCGCTCACCTGGTGTTAAATAGTCTCCGAAGTCCATAGGCGAACGTGAATGCCACGAGTCAGATTGAAGCTTCAACTGTAATGTGTGATGGCTGGGTGCATCTGCTCTCTGCAGAAGAAGAAATCTAATCTCCGATATCGGCCGGATATTGATACTTAAGACAGCGAGACAGATCCATATATAGACACGGCCATTGAGTTTCTTGCCAGATCTTTTGAAGGGGTCGCGATTACGATCCGATGGTGGATTCAGTAAAGCACTGCTCTCGCTAGGGTTGTGTTAACTCTCTCAGGTCGAGCCTGTGATCTCAACTATCCACTTTCACATAGCTGGGACAGCCGTTTAGGTAAAAAAAAAAATATCATGCCCAAACAACCGACATCAGGAACGCTCGGCTAGTGATCGCAGTACTCTGCTATTAGAGCCCAGTAGAGGACCCTTTATTGTATACCAATTGTAAAACAAACAAAAATGCAGAACATTAAATACAAATTACGATAAGACCGCTTCGAGCGATGTCTTCCAAACTGACATCGGGTAGACAAGAAACACCCAAGGAAAAAAATTGAACCGTGACGTAGTTATAAAAAAAGAACATTTATACCAAAAATATAAAAAAAATGTTACTATTTTACAATTAAAAATGAACAAACAATTTAGACCTAAATATCACATTGTACATAAATACCATTTTACACAATACTAACGCTGCCACCCAATTATCCGGGTGAATTTCTTATCGCCTTTTACGACATCCGCGAATTGGAATCAGTTGCAGTTATACCAGGCCGACACGATCAACACCAGCATAAGTGTTTAAGTAAAACAAGAAACGCCAATTAATTATTTGGCATCAATCGTCTGTGAATACTGCCACAATCTTAAAGGCTGAGAAAAAAACAAAAGACAAATTAAAAAAATTAATATAAAAAAATCATTAATTACAAATTTCGTCCGATCGTAATGGTTAGTTTGAATCAACCAAAAAAAAAAACGATGCTATTAGTCTAATTAAAACGATATTATAACTTAATTGAAACATCATGTATTCTTGATTTTTATTACTTTTCATTTATTGCAGCCGTTTGGATTCATTTCTTAAATGTCATCGAAACCTGCCTTTCGCATACGTTGTTAAAGATAGAAAAAATAAAGAATAATACAATATCTGTATATTGAATACGTGAAGCAAAAACTTTGTATCCCTTTTTACGAAAATTGCGCGGACGGAGGAGTATGAAATTTCCCACACTTATAGAGAATATAGAGAAGGAGTGCACAAAGCTAATATATTTTTTTAATTATGCATAAAAGATACATTAAATCAATAAAGAAAACACTACACACACTACATACCATGTATTTGACGCACACAAGCATGCATACTATTTATTGTCAAACTTTTGTTCTTGACGTCTGTCGTCAAATTGAGAATAGATTAAACATTGTATGTCTTTGATAATATTTTTTATAGTGTAGTCTTGGCGAAATTTGTGATTATAGAAGTGTAAAATACAATAATAATAGTGTACAAACTTACAATTCCAATTAATTATAGTCGAATTTCGACTACTGCGGGACCTCTAGTTATGTTAAATTCGTCATTAATGTCCGATATATGGGCGCTTCTAATTGTAATGATGCGTGATATCAAAACAAAACTTAATTAGAACTATTTAAACGGTTTAAATTTTTTTTTTTCGCTCATAAGTTGATCCAAAAGCAGCCCAAAATGTATTTTTATTTATTTTCATTCTTGACGTTACAAGTGCAATACACTTCTGGTTTTCCCGAAATATTAAAACGACTACATACTTTTATAACATAGTTTGGCGAAATATTAAGTTATTCAAGTTTTAAAACGGCTTTGAATCATTTAGATTATATTTCCGTTATTATCTGAAGACATGAGTGGTGGATAAAGGGGATATGTTACAATTTGTTAATTTTGAGAAAACCGTCAACACACTTTTGTTACTTGTACTTTTTCTTCGTACGTGACTCCTTCTTCACATGCAATTTCTAAAAATAGCCTTTAAACACAACATTTTAAGGTCTAATATGTTTTATAGGCACATAACACCTTCATTCAATGTAAAAATTCAAAAATCTTAAAAATGGTGCTTAACCACTTCATCAACTCATGTCTTCATACACGTCATTTCGGATCCTCCCGATCCACTAACGGTGCTTTTAGGTAACTCAAGCACCGGTCACCGTTCTCGTCGAACCCGTCGCTTGCGACGAAGGGCTCGACGAGTAAATTAACCCTCACAGCCCACTGAGTTTTTCGCCGGATCTTCTCAGTGGGTCGCGTGTCCGATCCGGTGGTAGATTCTGCGAAGCACGGCTCTTGCTAGGGTTCGTGTTAGCAACGTCGTCAGGTTTGAGCCCCGCGAGCTCACCTACTAGTTAAGGTTACGCTGAAATAGCCTCTCAAGGCTATCAGCTTAGGTAGGAAAAAAAAATGTCTTCATTTGTTAATGTGCTTTCGTGCCGACAGGGCTACTTCCAGAAGCAATCGTTGGACGCTGATGATTCGCAAGAAAGAAAACTTCAAGCCAGTGGTGAGTGTCAATAACATCAATGTACACAATGTTAGCTTTTAATGTATGATCGTCTGGTTGATTGAGAAGTATGCCCGTGATTCCCGATTGGACTTGTCTTTGTGCCATTTTATATTTTCAGCATCCGTAACACAGGAGAAAATCCACGTTCGGGGACTTTGGATGTGTTACGCTCTCTTTTTTATTCAAGCTTAATAACAAAAAAGAAATAGAGAATTGTTTTAATTTTTTTTTAGAAATATCGAACTCGTCACAGATTCTATCAAAAAATACAATTGTGATATATAATATTATATGTAGCTTTTATAGAGTCTTTAGGATATTCAGACAAAACCTGAACACTGATATGAAGGATAATTGTAATTTTATTAAGAACCGCGAATTCTAAATAAGTACCTAAAAAAGATATGTGAATTACAAATAAAATTCTCGTAATAATGAATAATCGAATTAGTATGCTTGATATGAAATCTTCTGTATCAAGAATATCATAATACTATTTTGCCGACAATAAATCATATGACACATATAAAGTACTTCAATTAATTTATTAATCAGCTAAAATAATCGTTGTTTTTTGAGCACTCTGGTGTGTTCGTGGTTAGGCGGATACCAGCAAACTCCAATTTTTACCTTAGTATATCTACAGCCCTTTGATATCCACTGCTAAGCATAAGACCCTTCTTTCTTCTGGCATAATATTCGACCCTCCCCCATTCTCATCTATTTCCTCCCCTACCGTCCTGACTTTGTTATCTTTTTTTTATTGCTTATATTAGTGGACGAGCTCACAGCCCACCTGTTGTTAGGTGGTTACTGGAGCCCATATACATCTACAGCGTAAATGCGTCACTCACCTTGAGATATCAGTTCTAAGGTCTCAAGTATAGTTACAACGGCTGCCCCACCCTTCAAACCGAAACGCAAGGAATACGCAAATTATAATTTTGCGGGTTTATCTGTCTATTTGGCTATAGGTTTTCCGGCACTTCTACAACCTAATCCTGCCCAATATTCCGTAATCCATATCCAATTCCAAATATATAAAGTTAAAGTTGAAAATTCTACGTCGCTGTGTATTTTGCACTAAAATCGCAACCAGTTACAGTGCCGCTAATTCAATGCGTGTTAGTGAGGCTGTCGAGAGCAACACTAATTAGGACCTTCGGCCGGTCGCGACGAAATCGTTTAGGACGTTTCGCGAATAGGTACTTAACGTTTTCAGATCTGTGAAACGTGTGTTACACTGCCTTGATTTTAACTAGTTCACTTAAAATAATTCACTCACAAGCCTATCTTAAAGTAATGGAATTCCACGCTGTAGGAATAACATCGTGTAATAAAAGTCGAACCTGCAAAAATTATAATTTGCGTAATTACTGGTGGAGGGCCCTCTTATGAGTCCGCACGGGTAGGTACCACCGCCCCGCTTATTTCTGCCGTGAAGCAGTAATGCGTTTCGGTTTGAAGGGTGGGGCAGCCGTTGTAACTATACTGAGACCTTAGAACTTATATCTTAAGGTGGGTGGCGAATTTACGTTGTAGATGTCTATGGGCTCCAGTAACCACTTAACACCAGGTGGGCTGTGATTTTTTTTATTGCCCTTTTTTTTTATTGCCCTTGTAAGCAGACGAGCATACAGCCCACCTGATGGTGAGTGGTTACCGTCGCCCATGGACTTCAGCAATGCCAGGGGCAGAGCTAAGCCGCTGCCTACCGAAGCGCTCGGAAAGTCACAACCACATGAAAGTGTCTGTCAAAGTTTCGTTTGGTTTTTTTTCTGTCTCGGACAGGGGATCGAACTTGCTACGAGGTATCCCAGGCTTAGGGGACACAGGGCATCTATCAAAGCCTATATAGCGATAGCGAACTATAAACTTATATGTAAATTTTGTTATAAGTTCCTCAAACGTTACACAGTAGGTGGTCTATGAACTATTTTTTCGGAACACAGTAAAGTTTAGTAAAGTAAAGTTTAAAAGAATGGTGAAGGAACACTACTTCTCTGCTTAGTGCTGTTTGTTTGCATCATCATTTATTATTTCCATACTGTTGAAGTATTATGTGTATTTAAATATATTTTATATTATATGTAAACGGTATATACTTTGTTTATTGTATGTATATATTTTCTATAATAATGTACTATCTATATTACACCGCAACATACCTGCTAGGTATATTTTATAGTTTCTCGAATTTCTGTAAATTAAACGGTTGTCTGGAAGAGATCGCTTTTAGCGATAAGACTGCCTATTATACATACTATTATGTGTTTGCTTTTTTTAATTGTTTTTTGAATGTAAATTGTGTTTTGGTGTGTATATTCTCTCTCTCTCTCTCTCTCTCTCCCTCTCTCTCTCTCTCTCTCTCTCTCTCTCTCTCTCTCTCTAAACAAAATGCAGGGAAAAATACGAGAATTAAACTTAGAACAGCTTAATTTACATGACAACGTCACAAACTAAACGTGAAGCCACACGAAGTCAAGAACCGACAGAGTTCGTTGCACGAGCGTTCAAAAATCAAATATTTGTACCTGTGTATCGATAATTAAAGCCGAAATATCAGAAACAAGTGATCATAGAATAAATTAGTGACCCGTTACTTTTCACGGGCACATGTAAAGAATGCAACATTTTTCTGTAGTTTTTTAACTGCGGCTTGATTTAAGTTTTACTTCGAACGCGGACTCGCTTTCAAGCCCTTTCGGGCGGTTAGTGTTAGTAAAAATTCAGGCTTCAAGGCGTTACACACTACATCCGCAACGTATCCGCTGTTGCATCGATATTTAAAAGTCGTCGTGGCCTAAAGGGTAAGACGTCCGGTGCATTCGTGTTAAGCGATGCACCGGTGTTCGAATCCCAGGCGGGTACCAATTTTTCTAATGAATTACGTACTCAACAAATTTTCACGATTGACTTCCACGGTGAAGGAATAAAATCGTGTAATAAAAATCAAACCCGTAAAATTATAATTTGCATAATTACTGGTGGTACGATCTCTTGTGAGTTCGCGCGGGTAGGTACCAACCACCGCCCTACCTATTTCTGCCGTGAAGTAGTAATGTGTTTCGGTTTGAAGGGTGGGGCAGCCGTTGTGCTTGAGACTTTAGAACTTATATCTCAAGGTGGGTGACGCATTTACGTTGTAGATGTCTATGGGCTCCAGTAAACACTTCTTAACACCAGATGGGCTGTGAGCTCGTCCACACATCTAAGCAATAAAAAAGAAAATTGTTTACAAAATAGAAGAAGACGAAAAAAGCATTTCATCTAGAGTTCTATACATTGCACGTAATGTATTTCAAATCCAGCCTTTGCTTTACATTGCGAGTTTTTATTTATCGCATCTTTGTAACTGTCTAAGCCGGAACGTATTACTGGTCTGATTACATCCTATTGCTGTGTACATTATGCCACATATATTGTATATATGCAACATTCAAGTTAATTCAAATGCTAATAAGTTACATTGACTATGACACAAAATCTATGTACATAAAAATGAATTGCTGTTCGTTAGTCTCGCTAAAACTCGAGAACGGCTGGACCGATTTGGCTAATTTTGGCCTTGAATTATTTGTGGAAGTCCAGAGAAGGTTTAAAAGGTAGATAAATATGAAAATTCCTTCAATGTGTCCCCCGTCGGACGGATTCCTTTTGTTTGTTTTAAGTTTATTTTATACAAAAGTTTAGGTCTTTTATTTATCGATTGAGGCACTACAAAGTCTGCCGGGTCAGCTAGTAAATAATAAAAATACAAATTGAACGTGAAAAGCTTGAAATGTTTTTAATTTATTTTTGTTTAAGAACAAAAATTAAATGATCAGTACCCTATTATTTTTTTATAAACTCACTTTTGTCTGTCGCCAAGTAATTAAATGTTACCGCTTATTCAAATGATATTGATGAACGCATCTAATTATCGTTAGCGCGTGTCTTCTGTCTGTTTAATGCGTGTTTCGACGCGTCTACACGAAAAAAACACGAACACTGGGAGTATTTGACGTTTTCGTGTGAAAAGATATAAAATTTTACTGTTTTTTTTTAGTGTAAGCTCATTGGTACTGTAGAACGGAAGTGCATAGCATTATTCAAAAATCGAATTCGTTACGTTGAACAGCTTTTATAACCAGCTTTTACTGTGGTGTATGTACCGTGTATAAACTACTTGGTTTAAGATTTCAAAGACCTTTTCTCGCACGTAGTTCTGTTGGGGCATCCTGAAAGCTCGCATTGTTGTACATTAGCCATTCCTACTGCGAAACAGTCACATTACTGCAATACAACCGGGAGCTCAAAAATATCGAAAGAGAACTATAAAATTCGCGATGTGATAATCCATTTAGAAACCCATTGCTGTACCTACCCGTAACAATCGTGGATTCAAAAATATCTAAAGAGAAGTATGGAATTCGCGATGTGATAATCTGTTTAGCACTCAATGGTAAAGCCGTATCAAACTATATCGGAGCTCGTAGATATCACAAAGCGGATTCCGTCACTCACCTTGAGAAATTAGGCCTGGATCTGAATTATATAATGTCTGTCTCTACCCCCCTTCAAATCAAGATACATGAAATATTTCACGGTGGAAACAGAATTGTTTTAGAACATCCTAATAACCGAAATTGAAGGATAGTATCAAACAGGTTTCATTTAGCACCCAATGGCGAACCCGTATCTAGTATCAAACTATATCGGAAAACGTGAAAATGAGACCTGGATATCAATTGCATTACGGCTCCCCCCTCCCAAATCGAAACACATGAAATACTTCGCGGCAGAAACGGGATTGTTCTAGAATATCCTAATAACCAAAATTGGTGTCACCAAGCAGACACCAATGGAGAAGGAGATCCTTACGCGGAAGTGGCATTGGATTGGTCACATTTTGAGAAAGCCCGATACCCACCTATCAAAGAGAGCACTGACCTGGAAAATGTCTGGCAAAGGGAAGAGAGGCCGCCCCAGAACAACTTGGCGTCGCTAGGTGGAGC